TATAAAATAAATTATGTATTAAGGGTGATATTTAAAATATGAAGAAATACATTTAAAATGTTAGTTATTTGAGTTAAATTAAACGTGTATTATAGAGAACATTGATTAAAAGTAATAATTAAATCAGTTGTCAAGTACACTGTACGCAGTGTGGAAAATATAAAAACAAAGGGAATCATTATTTTTGCCATTTAATTTTGAAATGCTTGGATACTAATTTTATCTCCCCGTCTTTGGCCGAGGACCTGACCCTCAATGTCCGCGATTTACGCTCTAGATCGGGTATACAAGTCAGCTCCGTATACTTCCGGGAGATTAAAAATTAAACAATGATGTCATTCTAAAAATACAACGATGATGTCATTCTAAAATAAAACGATGATGTCATTCTAAAAATAGAATCCAATATGGCGCCGCGCATGCGCAGTCGTGACGTTAAAGAGGCGCCTATACTACTCTGGGAAATTCGAAGAAATATTTGCATACACAGTAGGTTTATAACTATTTAGTATTTAAACAAGTAAAACGTGTAAGCAGCCGAATAGCTCAGAGGAACTCAAGAGCCGCGGAATCGTATTCCGAGTGTCAGGGGTTCGAGTCCCTGCCAGGCTGTTACATATCAATATAAATCTGTCAAGAAAAATAGGAAGGAACTGTCTAAAATAATTATCACCCTAAATAGTATTCGGATAGGATTCGGACAGTCTTTAAAACTTTAATGTAAATATCACAATAATACTTCTTTATATAATATTTCTATTCTTTGACAGGGACACAGAACATCTCTTACATGTTTAAGAAACAACAAATTTACATAATATATCTATCTAAGATATTCTTTATCTTCTCAATAGTAACAGACGCAAAACACGGTACTTAAGCGCTTAGACGAACGCAGACGCACGCTAAACGTTTCTGGGAATAAGAAACGCACGCTTTCAGACGCACGATAAACGAAAAACGATACACGGAAAACGATAAACGTTAAACGCTTGTAAACGATGCACGCTTGAGAAAGCGTTTCAGCAAACGCACGTTGCACGCTATACGCACGCACGTTACACGAAAAACGGACGCACGAAAAACGCTATTTTTTGACAACCGAAACGTTCACCCTACTGTAAGTTCTCCTTACCAATAATCTTTTCAACAATGTGCCAAGCTGTCATTGCAAATCTGGTTCCAACACGAAATGCCGTACCACTGCAAACACTTGAATATAGAAGACCAACGGAGGGCAACTTATTGGCATATTCATATACATATGTATCTTTCAGTGTGTTATCAACGGGTGTTCTAAAGTTATACCCTTCGGAACGTCTGGTACTAAAATCTACAATTTTTCAAAATAAGCATTTTGATACTCATGCTGAAAGAAATGAGTATTTTATTTGTGCATTAAGCGCTATATCAGCCATATAAAACAATTTTTAAAATCAGAGAAAATATAATTATAAATCATATCTTTTATGCTACAATTAATAAGTTGAAAATAAGTTGAGATAATAATAATTTTGAGATAACTTACCATCCTGATTTTCTACGTAACCATCTCCATGTATATATTTCTTATCCATTTCAGTTCGTCTATCCTAAAAGAAAGCCTGTTCATTGTAATTTCAGATGTATTCAATCGCTCTAATATGTTTTCAACATAGATAAAACTGAAGAGACCACTTATTTTTGTTGACGTTTCAACTGATAATTTCTATCAAATTAGGAAAATATTATTAGAAAAAATCTCTATTTCAGGAATAACCGACATTATTTGTGTCACCGTTTTGCAAAAGCCTAGCTTTTATAATCAATTCCTTTAATAAATGCATAGAAAAATAGCCATTCATAATCAAGAAATGGATAACAATCAAAAATAATTTTCTGATTATACCTGAGGCGTATCCTGGTCATACCAATATTTTTGCTGCTTCTCTCTAACTGTTTGCAGATTTGATTCCATCCCTCAAACATTAATTGATCAACAAAGATATATTTTTTAGGCATTGGTATTTGAATTAAACAGTAAACGTAATCTCATCTAAAAAAAATAACTATTCTCTGATTAAGGAAATAGTCTTTCATCCGTACATTTTATGTATTAATTTATTTTTTGTTAAACGTTGACCTTGATGTTTAAAGCTTGATGGTCAAGAAAAAAAACTCGTTTTTCGTACGTATCTTTATTTACTACTTTAATTTGTCGTTAAACGTCGTCAGAGAGGTTCTAAGCAGCTACACATAAGTCCAAACATATAAAAAAAGAAAAGAGTACCACGACCACTTACACAGTTGGACTAACGTACGATGAAAAAATATTTGTTCTGATATTCTTATGAAGCTTGGTCTACAATTTGTATATATAAATAAATAGTCCTTACCGACAATAAGTTTTCCTTTACTGATACTAATTTTATGTTATAAAACTATCGGACCGTCGGTATTCTTTAGAAATTCAAATAAATATTAGAGGAGTGTTTTAATTACAGAAATCGTAGGTATGTGTTTTTAAAGGATAAATGATAGTTGTTGTATAGTTATTATTCCAATATTTAGAAACAGTGACAAAAACATACATTTTTATATACAAGTTTGAAGTATATTCAGTAATTATCAATCAGCCGGTGTAGCGTTGTAAGTGATCCCAATAGAATAATGACCCCGGTGATTATTTTATGTAAAATAGTGACCCCCTTCTATAAAAAGTGACCCCCTTGTATATAAAATTATGACCACTTATTTTATCTATAAAATATTGACCCCACCTAACATAATCTCATATTACAATTTCGTATACGTGTTGTTGCTGTTGTTGTGCCGATTGCTGCTTGTGGTACTACTGTGGCTACTGTCGCGATAACAGCTGGCGAAATAAAGGTAAAATTCAGAGGTCCCGCTAAGATTAAGCGAACATTTAATAAAAATAAAAATTAAAGTATTAAATGCTTAATGCAGATTGTCTTTTCTAAAACATTGTTCATTTACAGTGAGAACGCAGATTTTCGGTAAAGAATGAGTTGAAAGCACAGAGCAAAGCAATATTTATTTTTCCTCATATTTTGCCTTCATTTAGACAATTCAGCTATATAGGCCATCATCTTTTTATATGTAAATAGATATTTAGACTGAAAGAAATCAGAGATAGCGTGCATATTAAGCAAACATTTATCATACGAGCTGCACTCTGCTTTGTTTGTAATCGCGCAGTGATGTAGCGTTCGTTCTACGCCCTCGTGATATAATTCCTCGCATCGGAATTTTATCAAGCGAAAAAACGAATCAATATTTTGTACGTTGTAGAATCTACATTCTATTCAAAATGATTCGGAAATAAACTCATAATGAATTTATTGAACGAGTTGAATAAAATTATATTATACCATAAGATTGTTTTATTCACCGAGTTCAATAAATTTAGTAATGAACTTACACGAACTTAATATTCTTTTTATCGCATACCAAAAATAAAGACCGTTTGAAGTGATAAAGAAACATTTTTAATTTACTCGCTTACAGTATAACGCTAACATTAAGCACGTCCTGACGCTATGTTTTTATAATAACAAAAATGACGTCACATCAAAATATATAAACACGGCCGTGCAATACCATTTTTACGGAGTCGCAAAATCGGCACGGGTTTGTGATAAATATTAATAATGCACTCAAAAGCAGGCTCGAAATTTAAAAACTGTTCTTATAAGCTGAACGCTACGATAAACTACAGCTCGAATGACGTTGAAAGAAATTGAGACCACATTAATATACTTTTACAACATAACATGGCTAGTTCAAAAACAAATTATTTTTATTTCGACAAAACAAAAAAAAAGAACCTGCTTAAGTCGTTTGTAGTTTTCAATCGACAAAATCGTCTATGGTACTTCTATAAACTTATAAGAACTGCGAACTTTCGCAACCATTTAACGTCCGTCATAGAAAATGACACTTCACCTTACAAGACAGTAATGTTACTTTAATATTTCTATGTTAAGGGCTATCGAAAGTTGTTTTCATAATTAAAGCCCTAAAAAAAGCTTTGTTTTGCTCCGGATACTACAATGTGTTATGCGTTGTTCAAAAAAGCCATTTGCTAATAAAAGAAAAATATTTGAGTCGCACAAAACAAAGGAAAGTTGTCCCTGTATATGAATATTAACTATAAGTGCAATATGTCTTCTTTATTTTTCGATCATTATAATGTCGGTCTGGCAAAATTACTTTTTTCTTTGAATTGCGGTAACTTAACGCATCTTTTAATTAAGATGGCCAAGATGGCCCTAGATTGTTCACCTGACCCATGGGACTCATCCGAGTAATTACTTAGACAAGCATCTGTACCAAGTTTGATGACAATAGAGTCAAAAATGTGACCTCTTGAGGGAGGTTTTTCAATATTTGGGCAGTGTGACCTAGTTTTTAACCCAATGTTACCCATATTCAAACTTGACCTGGAAATAATCAAAAAAAACTTGTAGACCAATTTTCGGCCGGGATATTTGGATCATAACAGAAGCCATTATACTGTTAACAAGATTGTTCTATTTTAAGCTTCTGTGTCCTAGTTTTTGACTGAGATAACTAACACGTATTCGAACTTGACCTAGAAATCATCAAAACAACCTTTCTTATCAATTTCCAGAATTTTTGGACCAAAACTGCAGCAGCTAGAGTGTTAACAAGATTTTTGTATTTTGTGGTCCTGTGTCCTAGTTTTTGACCGGAGATAACCAATATTCAAACTTGGCCTACAAATCATCAAAACAATCTTCCTGACCAATATCCAGAATATTGGAATGAAAACTGCAGCCTCTAGAGTGTTTACAAGATTTTTCTATATTTAGATCCTGTGACCTAGTTTTGACCCGAGATAACCTATATTCGAACTTGAGCTGTATTTCATTGAGACAAACATTCTGACAAAGTTTGATGATGACGCCGAACAAAGCCCCATCACTATACCTCACATTGACCACTTTGTGGTCAGGTGAGCTTAAAAGGAGCTATACCTTGTTTTTGATTTTTCCCAGCTTTCTCATTAAAAGGGCATATAAGCATTATATGTATTCCATGTGTGCAGTGTAATGTAAGCATTCTGAAACAAGAAACGGTGATCTGGTCTGAAATTTAAAACACAGATGCAAGTGATCGTAAAATATTTCATTTTTTATAGTTAAAAGGCGATTGAGGCATGGAAAAGGACCATGTTTAATGGGAAAAGGACTACATTTAATGACAGCTATGGAAGTGATGACAAAAATCCTTTTTATTTTTTTGACCAATAATTAAGCTACTCATATACACCCCTAAAATTAGGCGCGAAGTGATGAGGCGGATTACTTAGTTTTATAAACTTTGAGTATATAGATCGTAAGTTAAAAACAAGAGCTGTCACAGGAGACAGCGAAGCTCGACCTTAGAAAGTAAATTATTGTTGACTTAATTGTTATTAGGTGAATTTTTATGAATGGTTTTACAATGAACTTTAGTGAAGTGTTAGTAATTGAACTTTTATGAAGTGTAATTAAGTACATTATAAGTGATGTGTTAATATAATAGACAATGATTCATGACAGTAGAACTTTTTCTATGATGACGAAGCGAGTAATAAAAGATGTTAAACGTGCATGCATTGATGTAAATAACTTTATAAAGTAGAACATAGTAAATAAAATTTAGATAAGATGAACACCTCTTTTTGTTTTATTTGGTTATATAAATAAGTATCTAAATCTGATACTAGACGAATCTCAAAAAATGAGCATCTTGTTGAGGTAAATTAATTTACTAATCATATTACACGCCTAATATGCCCGCAGGATCGCTCCACAAGTAAGGGCTTTATGGTTTGGGTGGGGGTCATTATTCTACAAGGTGGTTACTATTCTATGTGAGGGTCATTTTTCCACCTGTAGGGGAGTCATAATATTATGACTCCCCGGTCATAAAATTATGACTCCGCGGTCATAATATTATGACCGGGGTCATTATTTTATATAAAATATTGACCGAGGGTCATTATTTTATGGGGTCAGTTGACAACGTTACACCGGCTTAGTTGAGTTTTGGTTATCAAAATACGTATATCTATAATTCGATCCTCGAGCAAAGCAAAACATTTTTGGAACAATTGATATTCGCCATTGAGAATTAAAACAGTTGTTTCTCACCGCTCATTAGAATTCATGAGGGATTAATAGTTGGTCACGTGCGTACAATCATTGTGTTAAATATGGAAAGCTGTATGGGACCTGACCTCCGTTACTATATACATGTAATTCAATGTAAATTATATAGTAACGACTTTTCCATAATTAAACTGACATCCGTGTTTATCAATTAATTTTAAATGCGTTTACTTTGTGAAAAAAAAACAGTCGAATAAACAAAATGTCGAAGCTAAAGACTAAACAATCAATAACACTCACCAACGAAATTCGCGTCCAAATCTTTTTTATACCGTACATAAACGAAAAAAAAACCAACGTGTATTTTCTACGTCACACTTTATTTAAACTTTATTGGAATTATACGAATATCATTTTTGTAGAGCGAAGATAGTATTCCGGGTAAGGTATTTGTGCATACATATACAGCATTGATCGAGACCAATATTTTAAAAATATATGTCTAGGTTAAAGTTCATCAACATGTAAGTACTAACAAAATTAAATTGGAAAGGCGCGGCACATTGGCCACAATAAAAAGTCGTCATATAATAATTCGCCACATTTAAGTAACGAATAACCACAGATATTAAAATATTAAAAATAGCATTAACAAAACAAATAAACCATTTATAAATTAAATGCGTTTACTTTGTAAAAAAAAGTAATTGAATAAAACAAATGTTGTCAAAATATTTTTTTTATCCTTTCCCTTCAGGTGCTTATACCTATAACATAGAGACTTAAACAATTATTATTGTTATCAATCTGAAATATCATTTAAGTCAGGCGAATTGTCATTTCACTGCTCCGAAACG